GCTACCCGTTGCGATGAAATAGGTCTGCTGAGGCGAAGGGAGAGAAACAAGATGGCACAGAAATTGTGTGTATGGTGGGTGGTCGTTGTATGAAGCAAGGCGTAAAGAAGGGTGCGTTAGGTCTTGCCGTGTGTGCTGGTATTGTGGGATCCCTGTTGTGGCTCATAGGACCGCGATTTCTTCTGCGCGCAACAGCACAAGATGCCTATGTAAAAATCAATGCTCCCGGGGTATCGAGTCCGGAGAAGGACAGTGAGGGAAATGTGCATGAGTACTATGTACATACACTCACGGCTGTTTTTAAAGATAAAACGACCAAAACTCTTACGGTTGGTTCTGCCAATCGTGGTCGCCCTTTGAGGACCGGGGCCTACCTTCTTCTCAAAGTAAATTCCCGTAATGATGTCGAATCATTCGAGGAGGTTTTGCGGAAAGATATTCCATCAGATATTGCTGACATGCTCGATAAACAACCAAATACTATTACGTCTTAGCGTGTTTATCAGCTAAGTTCGTTTTTTGGCAAGGCGGACAAAGGCATACGATCGTGAAAGGGCGGCGCTGGAAGAAACGAGCGTCGTCCGCCGGAGGTGATGCAATTTTTGCGGCTGTTTTATGCGTCTGAATAAAAGCTTTGTGTCCTTCTCCATAAGGGTCTACACTAAAGGAAAAACAAGGCCAAATGGTTGATGGTGTAGGTGCGGACAGGAAGGTTGCACATGCGGTCAGGGCAGCATAGCGGCAAAGGCTCTCATCGTTTTGAGGATACGGAAGCAGGCGTTTCTGAGCCATTTCGCGTCGATCCAGCTCAAACAGGTTCGCTTGCAAAAATTAGGCCCAGTCAGGGTGCTATTGCTCTTACGCGCGACAATGCTTCTGATGTCGTCACGCATGCGTGGAAAGATGTACATCCAAAAAGCCGCGATGCTGTTTTGCGCCTCGAAGAACATCGCCGTACTCATGTGGTTTGCCACCAAAAACCGACAAAGATGAATGTAGGTCTTCTTGC